AAATACCTTCCCTCAATCAGCAGTAAGAGTTAGGAGAAACTTACTTCTCAGAAAGCTTTTGCTTTTGGTTTTTTTTTTTCCCTTGGAGATGAGATTCAAACGTTTCCAGCTCAAATCGCTGTGGGCTGGAAGTGCACCGTGGGTACTGGCAAGCAAACACGCAGTAGATAAAACATCCTTTTTGGCTTCTAGAGTTAAAAGTCTTAAATAAAACATTTCCCTTTTCAAATATCTAGTCCTGGCAAAGATGCGCACCACACACACTTTCTTCCTTCAAAGATTCCAAAAAGGCCTAACAGCTGGACCCCAGGTCCAAACACTGACACCTTACTCAGTATGTACAAAACACTGCGGTAATTGATCACTTAAAAAGCAAATGGCATATGGTGGCAGTTGTTGTATCCCAACTGAAGAAACTGCTTATCAGCAAAAAGAACAAAATTTTGGATGTGAAGAAACCTTAGAAATGATCTAATCAAACTTCTTCATTTTTATGGCAGGGAAAACCAACTCCTAGTGTTCTTTCAGTCCTATTCTACCCCCTTTTCCAAAACAAAATACAATGAACTAATCATAAGGCCTTAGGGAATTAGTGCATTCTTTTACCTGTCGATTGCTATAAGATTTTTGGAAATCATGGTAAAAATCCAGAAAGGGCATCTGAAAATAAACGGATGAATCTGGTGGGAGTATCAGAACCTACAGACAAAGGGGCTGTTTAGTTACCAAAAGTATAAGTATATACATAGTATGTAACACTTATCTGTGTTTAAGGGTTTTTATACACATTAACTTAATCTTCAAAACCACCCAAGATGTAGGATCCATTAGTATCGACACTTCAGGGATGAGGAAACTGAGGCACAGAGAGTTTAAGAAATGTACCCAGGCCCACAAGGTAGGGAGGGGGAAACCAGGACTCAGTCCCTGGCAATCTAGCACTGAGTTTCCACTTTTATTCATGACACTGTTATGTTACATTATTGTTTCATAACACAAAGTACAAAAAATAGAAGACACAATTTTTAAAGTTTTATGGGGATTAAAAAAGATTGAGAAACGATTTTAACTGCAACCTTATCATGCACTCAAACTTTTCAACAAAGCTGCTAAAGGGGTAATAACATTGAAGGTCAGAGTCTTTTTCCTACGTGATTCTTGAGCTAAAAAGAAAAGAGATTAAGGAGAAACAGGAATAAAAAAGGGCAAACTGAAAGAACTGCTCTTCACGAACTACACAGTCCAGCTCCTGAATAATTGACAGTTTCCAATTTTCAAGTCCTGGTGTATCCCTTAGATCAATTCCTCTGAAGGAAAAGGCTAAAAGCAAATTTAAAACTTCCTGTTTTAAATCTAAGACTTTTCAGTATTTCTGATGATAGATGTGGGGAAAAAAAATAGGATGTAGGAAACACTGACAGTGTGGCACCATTTAAGAAGAGAGGGAAATATTTATACAGTCATGTTATAAAAGAATATATAAATGTAGAGCAAGAGCAAGTATTGGTCTATTTAGATCTCAAAAATTGTCCTGCGAGCAATCTAGCCTACTTCTTTTGGCATACCAATAAGTAACAAAAAATAGCTGCACAGTTTTATCTTAGACTCACACCCTTAAAAGACTTAAAAAGTTCAAAGCCCAATACATAAAAACGTACAACTCCCAATGTGCTGTCATTATTTTATATGACCTGGAAACTCACTTGGGCTTTACACATTAGGTTGTATTGAGGATAGGGCACTAGTTTACACACGAGTGCCCCAACCGCAGTAAGTGAGAACTCACACGTCTACCCAATGTGTCCTGTTTTCACAGCCCCCCTTGGCCTGACGAAAACACATGAAAAGCACCTAAATCAGCCTCATTTAGATCAGAATATTGAGCCTCTCTCTCAGTAGAGCTGCCTTAGTACAATTTTTAACTTAACCTCATAGATAGCTGAACTCATGATCTGATGATTATTTTAAAGGACTAGTGGGAGAGGGAAGAGAAGAGAATGAAAAATGATAACCAGTCCAGTTGTGTCTTCTTGTCCTCCTTAGGTGGCTTTGTTTACCTATATAAGAAACGTTAAAGGTCAAGATGATGAGCGGAATGGTGAGAACTGTCCACACAGAAATAAGTTCCAAGCCGAACTCCCACAGAAAGAGAAGCTCTAAACCAATGGGATGGTCTCTGCACCTTCACCCTAAAAGAATGGCTTTCTCATGGTTATTGCTGACCTTCATACGGAACATCTCGCACAACAGAATGATGTGATGTTCATTAGGCACATACACATAGAGACACAGGACCATACCCTAAAACCCTGGATCGACTTCATCTTAATCTAGTAAGAAGAAGAACAGCAGCAGGAAGGAGATACAGAAGCGCCTAAGGAAAGGCGAGAACTGATCCCAATTCTTCCCTCTCTCACCCGAAAATGAAAAATTAACAAGAAAGCGGCAAGATCAGCCACCTGGAAGCAGTAAATTCACGGCTTTCGCTCCATGACAATTACATCTGGAAATCATTTCAATATATACTTTAGAAAACCATTATTGCTAAAAAGTGATTGAAGAGAAAGCTCTGTTCATCATTCACTTAATAGACCCTACCTAGCCAAACACCAAAATAGCTCAGCTGAGTAAAAAAAAAGTTGATCTTCTCAGTTAAATTTCTTACACAAACCACAACCAGCATTTGCTTTTCTTCTACAGTCAGTGTGATGCCAGCATCTAGTCCTTGGATTCTTTTACAGACCAGTACTCATTCTCTACGAACAGGCCCGAGGGATGACCCCAGAAGGGACACTCTGATCCACCAAACCATAAAAATACCTGGCCTTCTTGTTTCCAAAAGAAATATAATCCTTGCCATCCCTCAGTGTTTTACTGAAGGTCCCTAACACATAAATCCATCTGTTTAAAGTTGATCCTCCTCCCTAGCAAGCACATGGACATATCTTTATATTTAAAATAACTTTGTTAGATCTTTGAAAGTAACAAGGCTTTCTTCTCTATGGCTGTGTTGCCTTTCAATCTTCTTGGGTATCTTTCGTCACAGTTAATGTTCCTTCTACAAAAGCTATATGGTAGAAATCTCCCACTTACGCATTAACCATCAATTAGCAAAGCATGGAACATATCTACATACGAATGCATGAGAATGTACAAGGGTGTACAGCATGGATGCACAGACATTTAGACAAACATTAATAGTTACACAGCTTATTGAAAATGAATAGTTTAAATAATTAACATAAAGTTAGCCTTATACTAATGTGTAGGTACATATAGATTTAAATATGTGTTTTTATATATACATTCAGATATTGTACATACATTGTAGTTTATAAAATTTACCTTCACTTTAGCGCTTACAATGATAAAATTTCTAACAGTATTAATAAATATATTATGGCTCCCTTCTTTGACTAAAAACACTTAAAGAATGTATTTTCCTCCCTGGCAATTGCCCTGAATTAGGATCTGATCATCTGTTTCATTGGAAAAGACCAGGTCTTTCCTTATACATGCTTTAGAATTTAAGTATTTGGAAATGGAAGTACTTGTGTCAGAGAAATCACCTATTAATTCTACATGCAGCTAAGCCTGGCTTCACTTTACAAAATACTCAAGAATCTATATTTCAAGTCGCTCAAAATTCTGGAAGATCCATACAGAAGCTTTAAATTTTGCAATGTATCTCTTGCACAAGCCAGTTCTAGTCCTCGTGTGCTCAATATTTTACCAAATGAGAACAACACAGAATAGGATGCAACACACAGTCGCAAGTTAAGAATGACCTATTTACATATGTGTGCACTGATCGTCTGAGAGGGTGTATGCCAATACATTAATAGCAATTATCTCTGGGCAGTGGGTTTTAGGTAACTTTTTCTGCTTCTCCGTTCCTTCCATGTATCTCTATAAGAATCTCTCTCCTATTATTTATGTAATAAACCTGATGAATGATAAAATAACTCCATTCCTAGAATAATTTCACAAACATCACAATACACAATGACTCCATTTATAAAACATGTATACACCAAGGAGCAGATTTATTGAAATCTCTTATGAATCAGAAAAAAATAAATAGCATATATTGGGGGCTTAAGTGAAAAACATGTTGGCCACCACGACCTATATTAAGATACAGTGGGGGCAGTGAAGGTAGAATAGGGCAACCCTTACATAGAAGCCAGCATAGGGACGGTCTGTGTGCAGGACCCATTGTCACTGGCCTGGTCTAGGGACGGACTCGTCCAGATGCACACACTCATTATCTATGTCAAGGTAACACAAGAAGTAACGAGACATTCTGTGCGAAGTCTCCCATTCCTATGCGGGGCCTTGCTGTGGGGCACTGAGTGATCTTTTGCACTTCCTTGTAATCCTGGATGATACAGATTCTTAAATCTGGAATCCAGAACAGAAATTAAGCGACTTGCCCAAAAACGCCCCCACAGGACTCAAGAATCTAAAATGCCCCGACTGAAGTGGGTTCCAGCATGCTACTTGTTCCTCTCTCTTCATTTATACAATATGTGAAATACAGAGGTTATAGGCTACAATCTCGGGCACTGGGAATATAATATCTGCTTTACAGCCAGACTCTTAAGAAAAGCCTCGCATCACAGCACCAAAATCTCTCTCATGCTGCGGGGATGTGAGAGGTGCTAACAGTGTATAATGATGCTTTATTCTTATTCAGAGTAAAATACTCCCTGGGCGAGATGATCTTATTACAGGCTTACTGTGCGAACACATTGACTATAACCACTCATCACAGGTTAACCCCCACACACCCCACAAAGATATTTTCAACAGCACAGAGCAGCAGGACATATGTGGACAGCTTCCCACCCCCCACCCCAAAGGAAGTGCCGTACTCAGCTTTTAGTGCCTGTGTATTCTTGGACTGCAGCTGGCCATCTCAGAAAAGCCTCTCCACGCCTATCCACCAGACCTGTTCCGAGAGCTTTGCTCCAATCTGGGCAAACCCCCACACTTACAGCCATAAATGCATTGGCACTGAGAAAGACTGCTGAGGATGTGGCACTCCAGGTGTGGCTTTATTTGTCACTTCACCAGGTCAGCTACTTAGGCCTAGTCTTCTTCATTGGTTTGAAGCTCTGTTCACACCATCTTGGGTAACACATCACATTATTCTTCCTTATAAAAACAAACAAACTCAAATAAGCATTCAGAGTCAGTTCACCCCTCGGAACATCTCTGTCTTCCCCTCTGATTTATGTGACACGGTTTCGGTCCCACCCACCTGAAAGCCTCCCATACTCTCAACTACAGACTGGCCCAATGCCCACCTTCACTCCTCGGGCTCCCACCTTCCTCACCTCCGCGGATGTGCAGCGCCCCGAGGATCCCAGCCTGCTGGCCACCACTGAGTCACCGGGAGCTCAGCACTGCGGTACCTAGCCCTACCCGCCATCAACTACCGCCACCGAGTCAAGTCACTGCACTCCTCATTCCTACCCCACAGAGAAACTCAGCTGTCCTGTGAGGCTGGACCAAAAAGAAAAAAAAAATGTTTTCAGACTCATAATGGCTCCCCTCTAAACCAGTGCATCTGAGATTTATACAGTTCTGGAGCACAAGGAGCTGGGTACATTCGTTCCTAGCCAACTCTTCACAGCAGCCGGTTTCTAAAGGCATTTCTGAAATGACTCCAATCCACTTCAGTGCAACACATTGCCCAAGTTTAAATCAATGGTCGAAAATAAAACTTACGACTCAATAAGGCATCACATGTTTCATAACTGAGTGTGAAGAGAAGGGGTACAAGAAATAATGAGGCCTCCTGAAGAACCCAGCTGGGGAAGCTGGTTAACTGAACTCCTGTAATTGCCTTTTCCATTCTCCCACCCCACCTGCGAGTGTGGACCGTCTCGATTCAGCTGCCAATGTTTCAGACTACGCCTTGCAATAAGCTGACAGTCTGATCATTTATGAGCACGCTGGGCAACACACAGAGAGACTTTGCGGAAACAGAGTTAGAGTTAGAGCTAACGCACAGACAGGAAGGAAAAATGGAATGCCTTATCAGAACTGAAGATTTCTATCTTTCATGGATAGCACATCATTTGATACATACGTCTGCACTGACGTATACCATAGGGGTTTTTTTGTTATAATCTGTTTATTTGGTGGTTTAGCCAGAGAACCTTATATAACACAATCCTGTTTCGAATGTAGCAACATGTATGGCATTGCACTCATAGAAAATTCAGACTCCCCACAGCACCTCCCGTTAGCCACCCCCAGCCGTTCTACCTTGCAAGGTTTCTGTGTATTGATGAAAAAAAAAACAGGAACTACCACGAGCAATAGTAAAAAGGAAGATTCAGTAATCAGCTTTACTGGATATTCAAAAGCTAGAATTCTGTGGTATGATTTTAGGGATTTCAGAAAATCATTTTATCCTGATTTTTACATATTGCATGAGCCTGACCTACAGTGGGAAAGGAGTCCAGTTTTCTAAACCAAAACACACGTGAGTCTACTTCGCTCTTCCAAGAAAGAGTATAGGAACACTACCCTCTGCCTCTGCACTGGGGTGTTGTGTGACCACAACCCTTGCATCTAATTTCCTTAACAAAGAAGCAGTAGATCTGCACTGCTTGTTTGGCCAGAAAGCACATAATAATACAGCTACAGCTTAGGAACTTCCATTCATTTCTAGCTCAACAAACAATGTGTATTATATAATGAATGAGGCTTTTCTATGAACCCTGCTATTGGAAAACACAAGCACTTTCTGCATAGTTTAAACCAGTCTACAAGGAGCAGTTATCGTTTGCGAGATCAAATGTGGACCTGGTAACATACAAATTCAAACAGCCTACACTTTTAGATGCCTTTGCTATCACCCTAATTTCTTTTTTTTTTTTTTTTTGCTTGCCAATAATTTCAGTTAACTATAAACTATACAGAGAACATTTACACAACAGCCAGCAAGCACCAGAATGATGTTGGCTTTCAGCTCCATGTTCCCTGCGTTGCCTAAGAAATAATCGGAGGGGGGGAGGGATTGGGGGGATAGTGGGAGGAGGAAGAGGAGGGGAGAGGGAATCAGCTATCTATGAAAATACTTACAGCCTCCGAGTCTTCAACTCCATGCAGGTACAAATTGTCATACATGGAGGTCTGATAATCCAGCGCACCTCTTTTCAAGGCAAAAATAAAAATTGCTGCAGAAACCACAGCTAGAGCTTAAAGAGAAAAGGCCTGTTTAGAAGAACTGCGCCTGCCTTATCAATTCCTGTGGATTTACCAGGCAAGATGCTATTCATTCACATCACACAGGGTGAGGTTATCCCCGGAGGCAGTCCAGACCTGGCATTTTATCTGCCTTCCCAATACAGAGCATAAAAAGCAAAAACCCTTCCTCAAGCACAGACTGGTGACTGGGCTAGGAAAGCGGCCTCTGATTGGCTCGGCGTCCCTGCTTCAGTCAGCTGAAGAGCGTTCCCCCGGAGAGTGGAGGGCGCCTCGGAGCATCCTACCCAGCACAGAGCCGCTTCCTGTTTCGCCTGTATTGTCAGTTCTACAATAAACACTCATCGATATCCAAAAGGCTGCGCGCAAGGTTTGCACAGGCGGAGTGTCGAATAAGCTAAACACAACTGCTCCTCTTCTTCATGAAATTCACCGTTGGAGGGGGCAGCAAAGGAGAGGTTTTATTTCCAGAGAATATCATGTGAAGACAAGCGAACAGATACTAATCTCCATCCAACATCTGTGCTTAACAGATGCAATTTAAGTCAAAAAGGCAATAAGTCATGTAAAATTCAAAAAACCACTGCAAGGTGAAGGAAAAATGGATAGAATAAACAGATGGTAAGATTTCTCCAGGGAATTTCCATAGTAAAAGTTTTCAATATTCCCACTGAAGTCTCTTAGCCTTGCTGGCAAGAAAATACTACGTCCCAACTGGTGAAGTTTGAAAAGGAAGCCAAAAACCTCTCAACTCTTAGATGCAAAAATTGTAATGCCTCTTTAGATTAATTTTTTTAACCTCCTTTAAGCGGCAGCCAATGTTCTCGCTTAAATCCTTTATCCCCTTCCCTGTGCATGAATCTTTAATATTCCTAAAACAGCATTGATCTTTTCCCCAAAGCCCAAGCAGAAAAGTCCCCTGCTCCCACCACACCACTACTGAGGCTGACCCGGGACAGGTCCCGCGTTGGGGTGGCCTGACATGGAGCGTGCCTCGATTCTTGGGGCTTTCTGGTCAGCCAATAAGGTATTGCAGCTTTGAAACAGGAGAGCTCTAGAGCTCACTGGAAAAAAAAAAAAAAAGCTAAATTTGGGTGGGAAAAGAGACCAGTAAGGGGCAAAGAACATAATCCAGAGGAGCTGCATGGCTCACGGGTGTCAGCAATGACCCAGAAACTCAGAGGCTATGAGTCCAGTGTCAGCTTCACCACTAATTGGTCAGATGACTCCGGACCAGTGAGTTACCCTTTCCGTGGGCTTTAGTTTCTTCATTGGCTAAACTGAGGTGAGAAATAACTCAGAGAAAGAACTCTGCAAGTCTAAAGTGCAACATAAACACTTATCACTGACAACCCTGCTTTGTCAGCTGGAAGACATTGGCTGCAGTTCATGGGCGCTCAGCACAGTAGTAACTGGCTGGCCCTGGACCTACAGAACGAGGCCTGTCCTTCTAGCCAGTATCTCTGAACAACACAACTCTTAAAGGAACAAACCTGAGTCACAAAAAGCAATAAAAGAGCTACAACTGCTGAGCAGAGCACAGTTCTTCCAGTTCTATGCTGACCTGTTCTTATCTTTCAATCCCAGTTGCATGCCTTGGGAGTGGCATCAATACTTAGCCACTGGCAAATGCAAAAGATGGCAAGGGGGAGGGCACACTGGCTCACGCCTATAATCCCAGCACTTTGGGAGACTGAGGCAGGAGAAGCACTTGAGACCAGCCTGGGCAACAAAGCAAGACCCCATCTCTACAAAAAATAAAAAATTAACGGGGCCCGGTGGCATGTGCCTGAAGTCATAGCTACTTGGGAGGCTGAGGTGGGAGGTTTGCTTGTGCCCAGGTGTTAGAGGTTGTAGTGAGCTATGATGATGCCACTGCACTCCAGCCTCGGCAACAGAGCAAGACTCTGTCTCTTAAAAAAAAAAAAAAAAGATGGCAAGGGACTCAGCTATCCTTCAGAATCCCAGAATGGTAGAGTTCATACAGGATGTCATCTTTGAGGCTATGCCTACACAGCAGGAGGACATCAGCAGAGGCTGGGTGCCATCAACAGGATTCCACAGAGAGAATCCCAGCACTGTTGGGTTCTACCTGTTGACAACTATGTCTTGGGGCAAGTCACTGTCCAGGTGGAACTTCAATCCCCATCCCACCCCATACAGCAAAAGGACTGGATCAAAGGACTGCTAAGCCCAAATTCAGGTATCATATTCTGTTATTTTAATTAATTGTAACTATAGCTATACAATATTATATCCAGAATCTACAAAAAAATGAGACAAGAGGGTTTTTTTTTTCCTCCTTAAATTCTCCAGATCATTTCTTTACCACTTCAATTGAGAGTATTTCCTGATTATATTAAAATGAGAATCTAAATTAAGGGGGAAAAGAAAGAAGCAGTCCATTTTCACAATTCAGCAAGATGAAACTGTTCCCTACTGGGAAACCTGTGCCTACCCCAACTCCTCTCCTGTGCTTGGATGCGGTGGAGCGCTACCTATAGCCAATGCAAGGCGAGGTCTAAAGAAAGTTCTAAAGGGCAGGGCTCATTTCGAGATACACTAACGCACACAGTAAGCAAGTCCGACTCCAGGCAGGATGTCAGGAGGGAGGCAGCGAATCAGGCACAGCAGCTGTGGTTACTCCTTGCAAACCCACACCCAGTCCCTTAGGGACTCAGAACAGATGTGAAGCAGGGCCAGTCTGGCTCGGCCTCCTTCCCAGGGAGTCAGAAAAATGTTGGACTCGGAATCACAAACTGTTAGAGGTGGGAGAACCCCAGAAGTCACCTATTCTAGCCCTTTCAGTACCAGAAAACTTAAATTGCTTTATCCAAAGCCACATGTTCTACACTTGAGCATTCCTTCCTGTCTCCCTTCTTGATAGGGTGTGTTCAAGGGATGAGGGGCAGTGGGCCTGTTCCCAAGAGGGATTTGGTGAAACAGAGAGAGCTCACTTTGGTGGGAAAAACCCTATTCTTTCCCACTCCTTCCATGCTACAAATTGTCTAATCAAATGTCATTTGGTCACCCACAGCTGATAACTAAAAATCAAATTAATAGATTGGGGAGTCTGGCCCAAGGGTCTGGGTCTACCCAGAATAAGCATCAGAGCTGTGAGTCACCCAAAGGTTTCAACCCAATATTTGGACTGATCCCAAAGTTCCAGAGGAAGCTCAGTGAGAGATTCTGTTCTGGACCTCCCCAAAAGAATTCTAAAGAGTTCCAGAAAAGTGAACTCATAACTCCAGGAGGATCCTGCAACTGACCATTTCTGTCCCAAGACTGTCTTAACTGAGACCGGACTGAGAAGTGGTGAGAGGTCCATGGCAGCTTCCCGGGCCTGTTTCAGATCACCTCAAATCCCCAGATTTTGGCGGAAGGATCTAGGGATTCCAGCAGGTTCAAGGTCCAAAGGCCAAATTTCAAGAGTATCACACTTCACTGCAGCAAGATGTAAAAAGCAACCAAGGGACTGGCACCCTCTGGGTTCTGATTTTAAGAGTTTTCCAGTCAAGTGATGGGTTCAGAGGATGAAAAAGAAACCACCCCTTTCCCTGATCTACTTCTCCTAGCTGAGACTACAATGAGCACAAGTCTGAAAACCTGTGGCTCCTCTTGTGTTGGTGGTTTCCTGTAACCCACCTCCTTCTCATCACTGCGTAGCCTCCAAAGCTACACAGCGGCCTCCAATTCTCAGTCTGCCCTGCTGAAGGTGTTTCTGGCCCACTTCCTTTCAGGTCGTTTCTCATTATGATCAACAGCTCAAAGTCAAAAAAGACCCTATGGAAAGGCATTACCATGTTTAAGGCTGGGCATGGTGGCTCATGCCTGCAATCCTACACTTCTGGGAGGCCGAGGCGAGTGGACTGTTTGAGCTCAGGAGTTCGAGACCAGCCTGAGCAAGAGTGAGACCCTCTCTCTAGTAAAAATAGGAAGAAATTAGCTGGACAACTAAAAATATACATAGAGAAAATTAGCCAGGCATGGCGGTGCATGCCTGTAGTCCCAGATGCTCGGGAGGCTGAGGCAGGAGGATCGCTTGAGCCCAGGAGTTTGAGGTTGCTGTGATCTAGGCTGATGCCACACACTCTAGCCTGGGCCACAGAGTGAGACTCTGTCTCAAAAAAAAAAAAAAAAAAGGCATTACCATAAATCTCATATAATTCTTCGTAGGGAGGCTGGTTCTTGCAATTTGACAAATGCCTCAGCTGAGCTCAGTTCAATGCAGTGAACAGCATGGCCCTCAACAAGTCAGGAAAGCTCTGCTCTGTACTGCAGAAGACATTACTTTCAGTTCATTCTCTTTGGCTTCAAACTTAGGAATGTGGAGGTCCTTTTCCTTACCGATTGGTGGGCTTCCTGGGGCAGCAAACCCATGGAATTGACAGTAGAGTACAAAGGACAAGTATTTCTGTTTTCCACTTGTTTGGAAAGGGAGAGGAGGGAGAGACAACCCAAGGGTGGTGTGATTGGCTGTGAGTTTTAGAGAGAAACACTCAAGCCAACCAGCATAGATTGAGAAGCAAAGGGAAATTTTGTTATCAGTTTTCCACCTAGATTTCTCTGGAATGTAACTTTTCCAAGCCAATGTAGTTATGTGTTCTACAGCAGGAACCTGAGAGGTCAGGGAAGAGGCAAAGTCGTACTGTTTGGACCCGGCAAAGACTAGTCCTCTTGCTGCCCCTATGGGCTAGAACACAAGCCTAGCGTTTTCCTTTGCCAGTTCAGACTTGGAAATTACTTTGCTCTTTGTTTTTATTTAAATTTTACTAAGTGACCACAGTGTGC